TTGAATTTATCTACTGTATTGCACCATTTGTCTCCTTTGCAATGATAACAATGCCTATTTGTATCACATTCGCCACAGCCACCCCAAAATCTACCTTTAATTATATAAAATTGATATTAAATCGTTTTGTTCGCGAATATGAATGGGGGTTTAAATGCTTTTATATTTAAAGTAAAATCGAACATAGATGAACAAAAATTATCGGTTATAGAGATTGAAATAACTTTGAGATATCAGTCTCGATTCTCGTACGTTCTACCTAATACTTTCGCGAGGTGGAAGCCTTAAATTCATTCAAAAATTATCGCCACATATTAGATCCCTACAAACCTTCCTGTCCTTTCCAATTTGTAATAAAGCATTTATCAACACCTACTTTACAAACTTCCGTGGATCCTTCTACATTATGGTCCGCATGACATATATGAAATCTAGCTATCCAACTATGAATATCCCAACAATCTGGAGGTACACAGTCAAGGCATTGCTCATTTTTATTACATTTTCCACATGCACGTTTTACTTAAAATATTTTAAAATGTCTCTACCATGCTACAATTACATAGAAAATGCGCAATTTTTGCGGCAGAAACATGGGTAATATAGAGAAGAGGAAAGATCCAGGATGCTGTTCCGTTTAAAAAATTACAAGCACTGTGTCGGGGTACGGGGTTTTCCAAGCTAGTACGGTTTACACCGCAAGGTACTGCACGCACAAAAGTCCCGCACCGCTTTTTCCGCCAGTTCAGCAGTGCTTTTAACGAAAATTGAATTTAAATGACAATTCGATTGTAATTAAATATTTATTTTGTGTTATGTATGTGGGGGTATAAAATTTTTTGAACATTAAATAAAGGCACACTCTTTAATAGAAGCTCACCATCTAATAAAAGCACACCCTACAAGAGGATTGAAAAATAGAATCACATTTGCTTCAGTTAGAGAATTTACGGTATTCTAATTTTTGCGATGTTTTATTTTATCCTATGTAGCTTATTCCTTTTCGATTGTTTTATTTTCAAATGCATAGAGTAAAGGGGAAATTTCTGAGCAAATGAAAAGTCGAAACAAAATTACAAAATTCCCCAAATATTACAATTATAAAATTTAATTCCAAAATGTGTCTTTGTATCCCAATCCATTTCCGATACCGTAGCAGAGCAAGCTTCTTTCCTGCATTCCAAATAACCACCATAGCATTTAAAATGTACAGCTTTTACATACTGAAATGTTTAAATTTGCATAGTAAATAAATATTAACGTATTTCATAATGTATAGAGCAGTACTTCAACGCTCATATCAAAATTCGTACTCATCTTGTTATTAGCCCGGACATGTTTTTATATCAGGGGCATAGTACTACTATTCAGTACTACTCCTTCGATTTGTAAGTATAGTCCTTCCAAAATAAACGCGGATTTCAACCCTGCCAAATTAATAATAAGAATAATTACCAAAAAATTTAGCATAATAAATATGTTAATTAACATCATAATTAATATTAAAATATGCATAATATTTAACATGATGATAATTAATTTTTATTGAATGTTTTACAAATAAATTTAACTGAATAGAAAATTTTTAATATTGAAAATTAAATTAGGTAATTATTTATAAATATGACTTAAAAATACATATATTTTATATTGTGTAAAAATTAATTAGTCATCTTTTAACAAATTTTCATTAGCATACAAATTTATTATACAAAAGTTTTAGTGCATTAAAATACTAGGGTTGATAATTTTAATTACCAAAAGAAAATAATAATTACCAAAAGATAAATAATCAATTTTTAAATAATGTGTCGATGTTGTCGGATTTTTGCTTCTTCATAAGCTTAACTTGTATAATTACTATGGTTGCCTCCTGTATCCACCGATATCCCTCTTGATGTCCCGTAAAACATTTGTTCTGAGTCAATAGTGTTTAAATGTTCCACTATTGCAATGTTTTACACTAATTTGCATATTTTTTGCCAAATTTTTATGAAAAAAAATTTTTTTTAAATCCTGGTTATTTTTTTAAGAATCTGTCTTTTACATTGGTTGAGTAAACTTTTCATTTTTCAAATTGAAAATTTTAACAAATATTGTAGTCCATCGAATTATAGAAATATTAATTAAAACTAACAAATAATTGCCATCCCTCATACACCTCTCGAATTTAAACGGGTGACTAACTGCCTTCCGTATATTAGTTATCACTCTAGCGATACGTTAACATATTATTATTGTAATTAACCGAGAAATTAATATAGATTTAACAAATTTTTGTTAAAATATATAGTAAATTATCAAAGTTAGAGTTAAAATCATCATAATATTTTTATGCTTATTTATCTGTGCTGAAGATTTTTGAGGAAAGCGATGTGTTGTGCCCTTAATAAGAGTAGTAGATTCCTTTTTGACCGATACTTTCGTGGTTGTGGAAGATATCCAACTATTTGTCTTTGTTTCAGTCGTTGTTGTTGATACGGGAAGTAAAGAGTCCTCATTACACAAATCGGTGTGATTACACGTTACACAATTTTTGAATTTTGGAGGGCATTCACCGCAGTTTTGTTCGGCTTAAAATTATTTTTTAACTCAAAGGAAAAGAGAAAATTTTCGTACCCCTCCAAAAGACGTCCCTAGCAATGTAGCAACTGTCAACAGATTGATGGCATGTCCTAGCTTTCTTCTCATAAGGTAGTTGATTGTAAGTAAGTTGGTAACATTTAATTTGAGGAAGTTTTGTTTCATCATTGCAGAGAGGAGTTGAACAATTAAAACATTTATCCAGATTACTTTGTCCCGAACATTTACCACAACCTTGTTCTATTCCTTAAAAGATGGGGGCACAGATAACCGACAAATACCTTAAATTCTAATTTACCCTTTTCTTTTTTATTAATCCCAACAAAGCAAAATCCTTCCTTACAAACTCTTTTTCCTTTCGTTGCTGTCCATTCCCTTAAATCTTTTTCCCAACAAAACAATTGACTTTCAAAAAATGTATCTGCATTACAAGCTGGTTTATTGTTACATTGGGCGCATTGAACACTACTCATATTTATTTTCTTTATTTTGTTTAAGAGTGTTAGATCTTTAGTCTTGATGTATGGAGAAAGGTTGAGAATGCCTGATGGACATTTTCCACAATCATGGTGGAATTGGTCTATCTTCTCGTCTATAATATTATAATTTAAGACTTCGTCTCATCGAGGTATTGATACACGAATATCCCCGATTTAAAGTTAAGAATAGGGCTATAGCTATTTCTCTCTTTTAGCTAGTGCAAAAGGTTAATCGGGGCTGGAAGCGAACCAATATCTTCACTAGACCGGACTGATGTGCTAGCCATTACACCACGTTGCTTACTGCACAGCCTTAGGAATTAACTAGCTATATGTTTTACAAATAATACCGAGAATTTGAGGAAATAATGGGGATACAAGTTTAAAGGAATTATGTGCGTATCAAGAGCTATATTAAAGTACCAAGTTAAAGAACCACCAAACTCCCTCCTAATTCTGCCTTATCCTTAATCATGCGAAGTCCTCTATATCCTCAAAATTGCTTCAGCAGATAATTAGAAAAAGACCACACCTCCACTCTTATCTTCAATTTTGGCAATATAACAGTCAGATTCATTACATCTATTAAACCTGCCCATAAATCCGAAACAATAAAAAGGAGCAGGTTTAGTTTCAATATTGCAACGATGACCTTTACATTCTTCACATGTATGGAAAGGGCACTTTCCACATCCTTTTTTAACTTTAAAATTTTCAAAAATTATTGAAGAATTTATTTTTAAAACCCTCATTTGTCAGAGTTCTCCATGTATAGCAAGCATCTTTAAATTTTGTTTTGCAAATTTTATTTTTATCTGTCCAGCAATGTTTATAAACTTTATCTTCAGTGTTACAATAATGTCCTTTTTTACATGTTATACATTCTGTTTTGTCTGTTATTATTGAACAATTTCCACATCCTTGTGTTACTATAAGGATATAATTAGTTAATTCTCATACGGTAAGACAGCACTATAAAGGATATCTTGGAGACTGAAACATAAGTTTATACAGAGGGATACACTAAATTGAGGGCAAAGCTCCCTTTCCTCCATTGATCAACCGAATTAAGAAATCAACCCTCATACAGTCAGATCTCAAGATATCCCGGTACATTGTTCATATCCTACCCCCCATTTCTATTTGAATCTCGGATTAATTTTTCCTTTTTACTTTCAATCATTTATTTCCATCAAACATTTTAAGTATAAGGCAAGTTAGTAGAAGGATTTTAATCTGCAAGTTCATCAAAAAGCGTGTTATTTTTCTAAGATAGAATTTTGTTACTTTTTTCATAGCAAATGAATTATGACCCATTAATTCACATATAGACGAGCTTGGTGAAGGAAATAATGATCTTGTTTGTATACGTTTTTTTCAACAACGTGGAATTATGCATCAAGAAAGGGGAATTTCTACATCTCAAGGCACTTACGTTTGGAGATGTTAATTTAAAATATGAAAACTACAAGAGGAATTTGCACTAAAACATGGTTCAACAGTAGTAATCAGGGAAGCAAATTATCTTTTTTAACATATTAAAGTTCATTTTTTGGTGGAGTGTCGAGTCACGCCTAATCAAATTTTGTCAGCGTGAATTGGGAATGGGGTACGACAGTTAATTTTTGTAGTTACATGCGTGAAGTATGTTCAAATATAATAAATCGAAGATGACGAAGTGTTATTGGTGGTCAAAATTTAACAGTAGAGGTTGATGGATCAGTGTTTACTAAAAGGATAAATAATGCTGGCCGTATCCTCCCACAAACATGGGTTGTAGGTGCTATATGCAGGTAAACTCCATTAGGTTAAAAATAGAAAATTAATAAATTAAAGAGAGACTCAAGAAGTTTGGATCGAAGTGGTGCCGAATCGAAAAGCAACCACCTTAATGAAGTTAACAGACACAAGATTGCTCCTGTTACGGAGATTTTGACGGAGACGTGGAAAGGATACAATGCCATTCCTCGGATTATAAAAACTGGAAGCCTATTTATACACATTTTACAGTTAATCACTCAAAAAATTTCCTTAATCCCACAGATAAAAAAATACATACGCAAAACATTGAACGACTTTGGAGGTCGGCAAAACGAAGGAATATAACACAAAGCGGGACACGCAGAAAATATCTTGAGAATACAGAAATGAATTTGTACACAGACGACAAGCGATGATTAACAAAATTATGACATTTTGAATGGAAATGCAGATTACATGCCTCCTTTTTAATTTTGCCCCTCTAACTTGCCTTTTACTTATAATGTTTGATGGAAATAAATAATTGACAGTAAAAAGGAAAAATTAATATGGGACTCAAATAAGAGTGGGGGGCCGGATATGAACAAAGTACCGATAACTTTGAAAGTAGTGAATTTTATCTTATAGACGGTTGGATATCTTATAGGGGATAACGCTCATACAGCAGACACGCAATGGCAAGCCAACTGTCTATAATGATCTATCTTGTATTGGGTGTACAATATAGTGTCCAGTTGTAAAGTACCGTTCCCAGTTGTAAAATTTCTTGCTACAAAACATTTATCTCTGCAAACTTTTGCTCCTTTAATAATTTTTGTTTCATTTGCCAACTTCTCCAAACAAAACACTTGTTTCTCAAAAAACGTTTCAGTATTACATAAAGGACCACTATTGCAATCCACACAGGGAACTTTGTTTAACATTTCTATAGGCATAACTTTCCGTAATTTTTTGTTGAGGGACGTATCGTTGAAGCCTGCGGTGTGTATTGGACATTTTCCACAGTTGTAATGGTACTCGTCTACTTTGGTGACTGAAAATTGAAAGAGTTTTAATCCAAATCTATGCTTGTATTTGCTTTTGAATATGAAAAGGCGGTGAATGACCGTTACATTACTTTACCACATACCACCCTTTATCTCCTTTACATATATAAAACAAAACTCCTCGACTTTTTGAGCAATTATCCTAGCCCTATTTTGGTAGAATAATTATTGCTTTTTTGGGTCTATAATTATCCTCGATAAATTTGCGAGATGGAACTATTAAATATGTATAAGTATTAAATTTCCATGACAATACATAGTTAGTCTAATATTTGGCTTTCTATGTTAAAGCCCGGACATAAAAGTTTGATTCCCAAACCAACAAAATTTAAACACTAAACAAGTTAGCCCGAAACTGTTTAACTAAACGGTATACGGTAAACGGGTTTTGGTAAAATTAAACGGAACCGTTTACGGGTCTCAGATAAACGGTAGACGGTTTTTTCAAAATTAAACGGTTTTGTGCTAACCTACTCTAAACTACCGTTATTATTAAATTTCAAAATGTAACATTCATTTTTACGGCATTCTTTAACTCCATTAATTCCTTCAACACTTTTACAATAATAAATACCCGTCCAATTATTACAACGATTATCTTGACATTCTCTACACGATGTAGAATTACACTTTCCACATCCTCTGTTTTCTTTAAAAATATTTTTTGTAAAATTTTTTAAATTTATTTATTCAATGCCTGTGTTATTCTTCATTCTCTCCACAAAACAAGGAGTTTCGAACGATGTTTTACATATAGTCCCATTGCTACCCAAACATTGTTTTGGAACAAGACTTTCTTTATTACAATATTTTGTGTTACATTCTACACAGTCTGTGTTTATGTTATTTGGACATTTGCCACAGTCTTGTTTAACTAAAAATTTTGTTGAAAATCTGAGAATCTGAGTAGATAAATCCTCAAACCTTTCCCATCTTTGTCTCTCAATACAATACATGAGGCACTACAAACTCTCTTCATTCCAATAGGTTTAGCCATATTTTCAGTCTTCCATAAACAAAACTTTGATTTGTTGATAAATTCCTGAGTGTTACATAATGGACAAGTATTACAGTCTACACACTTCTTTTCAGGATGTGAGACATCACATTTTCCACAGCCGGAATCGAGTACTGGAAATATATTTATCTAAATCATGGTTCAACATTCGCGATGCAAACTCGATACATCAGAATTATCTTCAGATCTTTCTGAGCAAGAAAGTCTATACTTAGAGGCCGTTGAGCCGCGATTATACTTTGGATAACGTGTTTGTACTGCCGAGGTCTACCTAGGCATATAGGTAGGTAGAAGTAGTCTAGTTAGGCATATCTTTGACTACCCCATAGGGCGGATCTTCCAATATATTTTAAATTTTACCTTTTTCTCTCTCATCTAAAGGAGCAATGTAACACCAATCTTCCTTGCATTTTTTATTCCCATTCTTTGTCATACAAAATGTGCGAAAATCAAGTTTATCATTACAACGATGTCCGTTGTTGCACGTAACACAAGTAGTATTAGTGCACTTCCCACAACCCTTTTTTACTATAAAACAATTAAAATTTCCCGTCTTATACTTAAAATACCTTTATTGTTTTCTATAATCTCCGAATAACAATAATCTTCGTATTTATTTTTACAAGTCTTAGGATACTTTCCACTATATGAATAATCGTATATTCCATCAAGACAATGTTTATAAACATGCTTTTCCTCATTGCAATAATCCTCTTTGCAGGCATAGCAATCCTTAGAATCTACTCCTTTGCAATCTCCGCAACCTTGATACACTTAATATTTATTTCATCATTTTAAACTTTTATTTATTAAGTGCTACATTTTCCGCGAGGCTCTCTAAATATAAAACATTCTTTATCACATTGTTCTATGTCCTTCTTGTGTTTACTCGCATCATAACCTTTATACAAACAAAACAAAGCTTTGTCAAATAATTCTTTTGTATTGCAAAATGGCTTTTCACAAACGGCATATTGAATATCCTCAAGATCCTTAGGTCTATCTCCACAACCTTGTTCAACTAAAAGATTAATATTTTGAAGGAAGGCAAAAGATTGGAGACCAGGCTATCCGCGGACAGCCGACTCTGTCCAATCTTCAAATAAAATTACCAATTTTAGTGTCATAGGATATAAAACATTTTTTTGCCGAACACGGCCTTTTCCCTTCATTTGTCTTTCCATTCTTAACTTTTTCATAACAAAAAATTGTTTTAGCTAACAATTCTTTCGAGTTACATTTCAAATCTTTACAATCAACGCATGACTTTTCAATTTTCCTTTCATCACAAGTTCCGCATCCAGCTTTTGAATCTGAAATAGAGTTTAAATTCAAAATTTAGTTTAAATTCGTTTGTGAAAAGCCATTTTGCAATACTTTTTGGAAGTTTTTTGAATTTAAATTTAGTTGGAACAAGGATGAGGAAATAGCCCAAATAAGAAAAATATGAATAAAAAGAAGACGCAAGTACGAACTTAATTTCTTTAAAGGTTGAACGAAACTGGATTCAGAAATGTCAGCTTCCACGGATTTTTGAAATCTATGTTTATTATTTCTTGACTTTAACTTTAACTTATTGCCTAAACGTTTTTCTATTTTATAAGCACAATGTAATTCATTGGAAATGAACAAGAGAAAAAGTCTGACCTTTCTGTAAAAAAATAAGGAAATACATACATTATATGGAAAGGAAAAAATTAAGGAAAAAAACGAGTACACCTTTATCTTCAAATAGGGTCGGTTTATCTATGTATGTATATCCTTCACAACCATACCTTTAGATATAAAACATTCTGATTTTTCACATTCTTTTAAACTTCTTCCATCATTGTTCAAACAATAATAGGTAAATTTATCTCCGGCATTGCACAGATTTCCATTACAGTCTTTGCATGTCGTGGAGTCACATTTACCGCAACCCTTGTTTACTTAATAGTGATGCTCGGGAGAAGAAAAAACCCGGGAATCGGGAAACGGGAGTCGGGTCGGGAAATGACCTCGGGAGTCGGGATCGGGAGTCGGGAATCAGCAATAAAAAAATTTTCCAAAAATTCCGATTTTTTTGCATCACAGGCAAAAATATTGAAAATTTTAGAAGGTAAAGAAGCCTTACTTGCGCCGCAGGCGAAAATTTTGAGAATTTTGAGGTCAAGAAGTCAGATTTCTTCCGTTTTTTGCGCCGCAGCCAAAAATTTTGACTCTCATTGGAGTGAAATAGAAGAGGGTCTTGAACGATCTTTAAGGATAACTTAAGAGTTTATTTCCCCGATTATTTGGAAAGATAAGCCAACAGCCTTCCAAAAAACCTAGTAACCGCAGAGATAATCAGTGTTGGGTATTGCTGTTGTCTTTTTCTTTGAGCCAGAGCCAAGCTTTGATTTATAGTTGTTGTCATTGACCTTAAGTCCTTAGAATCTCTCCATTGGAGTGAAATAAAGGAAAAGAGAGTGAAACAGAGAAAAATATTTTACGTTCAATTTTGGTGGAATTTTGATGAGCTAGCCACATATATCTTCATATCCCCGCTATAGTATTAACACCCCCTTAACATTAATCACTCAAATACATTGATATCTCTCTTTATTACTGCAAATCCCTCGTTATCTCTTCAAATTCACCATAATCCTAGTAAATAACCGAAGCTGCTATACTACAACTCCACAGATTCTTCAATTTTCAGCGCCGCAGGTGAAAATTTTGAGGATTTTGGAAGATCCTTAAGCCAAAAATCTTCCCTTTTCAGCGCCGCAGGCGAAAATTTTGGGAATTTTAGAAGACCAAGAGGCCAGATTTCTTCATTTTTATAAATGAAAATATAATTTTGTCAGAAAAATCCATTCTTAGGGGTGTAAAAATTTCCCGACTTAGTCGGGAATTGACATCGGGAGTCGGGATCGGGATCGGGAGGCCAAAAACTCGGGAAATTTCCCGAGTCGGGTGTCGGGAGTCGGGATACCCGAGCATCACTATTACTTAATGTATATTATTAAATTTTTATCGTAACTTCCAACTAAGATTCGTTATTTTATTTCTGTTGCCCATTGATGATGGGAGCTGTCTATGTGATAACCAGAGAATCTTGGATCACGAAGCTGAATTGAGCCAAGAGTTTGGATGAAAGCGGATTTCGAACGGACAGTATTCTGAAAAACTTTTCGGACCCCTTCTCTGTGCCGACCCATATTTTTAAATTATTTCAAACTTTTATTATTTTGCATTCTCTCAGTAAAACATTTTGCCCCAAATTCTTTTGTACATGTTTTTCCGTCATTTTCCCGACATGATTCTGGGACTAACTTTTCTTCATTACAATATTTAGTTTTACAAGTCTTGCAAACCTTGGCTGTGTTGGATGGACATTTACCACAGCCTTGTTCTACTAAAATTATTTTTTTCAAATTAGAATTGTAAAAATATTTCCATACATTTTCCATCCCCATGTCTATAAACAAAACATTCTTGATCACATTTATTTACATCCTTCTTGTTATTTTTCTCATTTTTCCCTTTAACCAAGCAAAGCAAAGTTTTATCAAATAATTCTTTTGTATTGCAATTTTTTGTGTTACATTCAAAACAATCAAAATCGCTTTTACATTCCCCGCAACCAGCAACACTTTTTTGTTTCTTGAAAAAAGATTTTTTGAGTATTAAATAACTAATGTTTACACTTTCTCCGTAATAACATTTTTCTGTCCCAGGAGCGCATATAACATAATAGTTTCTATCAGCAGTACGGAAACATGCATAAAATTTATCCCTGTAAAGGTTTTCAGTATTGCATAAATGTTCGTTGCAAGTCCTGCATTGTCCAGATACTTGAGAGCAATCTCCACAACCTTGTTTTGTGTGTTTTTCGAGTATTACTTCAGAATCACCTTCTTAAAAGAATCTAATTAGAATCTGGTGTACAACCCAAATCCACGTGGTTCAATGAGAAAAAACGCCATGAAAATAACACGGGTCTTTCGCCGAATTTTCGTTTATTTGTGTTTCGCCTTTAG